TTCCGTATATTCTATGGGGATTGGGGGTGGAAACCTTTTTTCAGTAATATTTGGTTATAACTGAAATTGCAGATAATCATTACGTATGAAGGTTTCAATACACACAAAAGTGCGTATTTCCTTTCTTAGTAAAAAGTTTCTGAGACCACTTACATCTCAAAAGAGACATATCTAATAAAAATATCATTTTTGGAAAGACCTTAGAGTAGATCCCTAGATTTTCGGAAAAGTACGTACTGTGTATAGTTATTTACGCAATGATCGGGTTTACAGTTTAATGGTTAACTATGTATATAGGCTTGAAACAAATATTATATCTGGTAAAAAGCGTGTGTTTTATACATTTTTGTTTAAGATTGTTGTTGCACGTAGTTTACGGTAAAAACTATATTATGTGTACGATATATCCTAACGAGATTCTCATACTCCTTTTGGGAATGAAACGATTGAAGTAAAGTAGGTGGAAACTGGTGGAACACTAAATAAGCCCTAGGTAATAGGGTACCTAATACCATCCACGGGGTAATAACGCAAACTATTTCATATGCACCAAACAATTTCTCAATACCTACGGGTTAAGCGCATTACATGTCACGATACGACGGAGTCGTGTGAGAATCAACGGGGAGCAAATAATACGCCATCACAAAGTATCACAACTTTGTGGTGTGATCGGTCGCAATAAAAAAAAAGACGAATAAACATTAAACAGATACATCAAATATACTGGATACATCTAAGTACATCTTGCAATCATTAGTAACGAGTGTGACATTAAAAACGAAATATAAAAAGGAAGTAGTTTAGATAGCAACATGGTTTCATTCATCGTCAAACCACCATCGTTTTGCTACGTCATATAGCAAAACGCGACTTCAAATGCGCTCATGTGTACAAGCCCTAAGACTATAAGTACTATTTAATTATTACAAAACTTTTACATAATGTCACACCTTTATTCAATGAAGAGATAGGCATGAGTGCAAGTAAAGCCAAGGATACACTAGGGGACGAATGTCCTGCGACACGCGGCGCCAGCGACGTTGGGTGAAGTAGTAAGACTTAGGTCGACATGCCTGGCAACATCAACGTCGCAGAAGATATAAGTCGCGCGTTGTTGCCATACATGTCAGGTAAAATCAGCCGGCATCGTTTGAAATGTCGCCTATACATGTCGTACAACATTTGTCCCCTAGTATACCCTTGGTTTTACAAAACATTACACCCACTTATCGTCAGTTGTGTTAGTAATAGGTTGTAAAGCCATGTGACCGCAGAGCAGAATATATTTGGCACCACCTCTATTCTTCCCGCTGGTATCGTACTAACGAACTACACATTTAGCAGAGACCAGGCAACGGCGCTCTTTGATAGGCCTAACTATTACTAAATATTTTTTGATAGGAAATATCAACCAGTTACTCCCCCCGCCTTGGGTGACATGAGTGGGAGTGTCAGACTCTTAATAATTAAAAATCACCCCGTTCCTATTCCTAGTAACCAGTTAAATCTTACACGGCTCCCCATCACATATTAGCCCTACGGGGCCCTATCTGTAGTGGTCGGATGACTCTTTGATGCGCGCGCGGAATTAATAAAACATTTAACTATCTTGAGCAGTTGATGATGAAGGGTAAACAATTCAGAAATCTCAAAACCAAGTTTTTCAACTGTACTCTAGCTACCTTTTTCGTGTATTTTTTATCATTTTACTATAGTAGTAGTAATTTAAAAGGACTGATGACGAATCGTAATGTACCAAATGATACTTACTTTAAATAGGATAGTGTACTGAATGCTACTGAAATTGTAGGTGTAGAATTAAAAACTGTTAATAATTATTTAAATAGTGTTAGTATAGGTTAAATTATGTTTAAGAAATAATCATTGAGTTTTAGTTGAGAGTTATAATGCGATATTTTCAAATACTTTCATAGAAATATCAAAAACGGCACTTTTCTGTGAATTTTGTATGATATACATATGACGTATATGTACATACACGTATTTACTTACTTAATGTCGTCATAATATTCTATCGTCAATAATTACATTTTTAAAAAAAATATTATTAATGTCTAAACTTATGTCGCAATTTTTTTTTTTGGATATATTATTGTATTGAAAAGTCGAATGACTAAATATGTTTACCCGATTATAACGTAACTTGACATTATCACAAACACCAGATATAAATGTAGCAACGAATTGAAACAAAAAATTAAAGTAATATTAAAGAATGTAGGTATATCCTCTAAAAATTTTTGTTATTAATAATACATTCAAAAATCGCTATCCACAGAAAATTACGTAAAATTTCAGTTCCCGTATCGTAAATGAAGAGAGTTTTCTTCCATACACACATGTCGTACACTTCCTACGATACAAAAACATCGTAATTCTTCTACCTACCCATAATTCTAGTACCCTCCTACCAAATAATGAATTAACCAAATCATTAATGTAACCCACAGCGACCTCTACCAACGAAAATATAAACAAAACGTCATGAGTTACACCATTAACTGGCAGATGGCGCATTAAAAACTTATTTTTACGATTTCGGGACGAACCAGGAATGTTAATAATTCAAGAAAATTGACTTCGTGGGAACTACATTCCTTTGCAGTAACTATAGCTACTTCTCTTTTATTGGACTTTGTTACTAAGAGCATTTGAGTCTAATTTTATAAAGAGTAGAGTGCAGCCATCCTCTCAAGGCCTTTACACGCGAAGTCAATTCCGTAAATTAAATCGAAACGTTAGTTTAAAGGATTTTCTGCTATATTTTGTATCTAATTAAGAAATATTATGCTCAATAATTATAATTTGTAGTCACTACACTAATAAACGTGTAATGTATATAAGAGAAGTTAAAGAAATAATAAGAAGGAAGAATTAGATATAATAAGGTGTTTGTAAAACCCAAAGATATACCCAAGACATCACCAATTTACGAACATAATCCATTAAAATTACAATTACAACAAGAATGATAAAATATATATGCTTAAAGTTATACTATTAAATATAAAATACTACAAGTTATAATGATTTAGCAAGTTAATAAATAATAAATATACAAAATGATGAACCAGTTGTGTATAGAAACCAAATTAACTTTAACATGACAGTAGGTTAATGCAACAAGTCGTGATGATCTTCAGAATCGATGTTCCGCTTCCCCTCTGAGCACTGAATAGACAGTGGGTCCTAATTATATAGAGATCGATATAATATGTTAGCTATCTCGATGCTCTCAGCATAGACACCGCTGCATTTTAACTCGAAATATCTTTGTAACGGTACTCACATTTCAGTATAGAGTAACACTCGAGTGATGGACTAACATCTGCATGAATGTTTGTAAAAATAACGATTACATTCATCTAAATTCAAGGCCATCGATGCTGCTGTAATAAATAAAACTACAATGAAGATGGATGATGGTATGCACGAGGCAGTCACCAGATGACTCGTTCTGGGAAGCTCGAAGATATAAAATGCAGTAAATGATGCTTCTAATCACTAAAAAGCTTAATGTTTACACTACATACGCTTGTCAGGATCGATCACATCTAACTTACCGTAAGATCATATCAATCGGTACTATAATCCAACTATCAATACTGTGTATAGAGCTGACTCCTGGTCTATTTGATACACATTTCTGCTGACAACACAATCGATCAGATATTATTATCCGGTTAGTTGTTTTATGTTACACAACTTCGGATATCGTGAGACCTAGAAGGAAAAGTCGTGTCTAGTTATAATATTATCTCTTGTGCCTCTAACTGTCCGGAATTAATTTGATCTTTTTACTTAATTTTTATACTTTGTTGTTCTGTAAACAACCCACGGTTTTGTTTCTCTAACTAATATTTTAGACGTCTCTATCAGGCAAACGAATCTCGTTACAAAAAGAATATCAATACTTCTATGCATTACATTTCCCTACTACGCTTCAATATAAGAATCTATAAAACCCCTGTCTCTTCTGAATCACAACAATGTAAGTTAATTATTACTTAAATTAACGTCCAATCTCTGTAACATGAACTACCAACGCCTTAGAAAAATTAAAGAGCCGAGATTTTGCAACGCGATAACTCATTTGAGAATGACACCGATGCATCCGGCCTTTAAGGGCGGTGTCGAGTATTTACGGCAATTAAAAATTAAGGTAAAAGCTAGAGAACGTACATAGGCGAATGCACAACCTCGTCATGCACCTCATTCACTTTTTAAGCTCAGAACCAGAGCGCAAAATGGGAAACGTCAAGTGATTAGCACTGATGTCGTGCAGGGCGCGGCGTGCGTGATGGCCCGGTCGGAGCGCGGCGCGGCACACACTAGGGCGGGCGGCGGACACGGCAGCATTACGTCAGCGCGGGGCGCGGGCCGCGGGCGCAGGGGGAGCCCCGCACTACTGCATCCTCCGAGCGCCCATCTTCGCCCGGCTTCGCTGAAAAACGTGACATCTTTGCTCCGCGCCGACCGCTTCCCGCGCGCCCCGCGCTTCTCCATCTCTCTCCAAGGACCATACCATCACTCACTCGTGGTCATTTTGTGTAGAAACTCATTACGTAGATGCAATTACGGGTACGGTTCACATTTATATTAGTTTATTTACTTGTAATGAGGTATGAATCTCTCTATAATATACTAAGAGGTAAGTTTACAAAACAGATTGATGAAAATTAGTTCTATGATTGCGGAAATAAGTTTTATAAGAAAAGTTGCTCAGTGACGTTTGTTTTTGTAACTTTATCAATGATACTTAAACCATGATAAAGTTCAAGTATTTGTATGTAGTAGTGAATCAAGAGTTTTTGTTCTAGTATTTCATTTATTTACTACTTACTTAAATAGTAGTACTAAATCCAAGATAGGTACTATTGCTAATAAATGTAAAACTCGATGCGTCCTGTAAAGTACGAAAGGTGGGGTAGAAAATAACAACAACAACTTTTTTATGATTTATTTTTCTTTGAATAATAATAAAAAACAAAATTTAAACTCTAAGAAAGAAATTCGGCATTCAGCAAAGATATAATTATGGAAAAAATAATAGCTAGAATTTATAAAATGTTAATTAACTTATCAATAGACTCTATTTAACGTAATTAAATTATGAGGTAGATGTTTGCAAATAGTCTTTCATTAAAATCTTATAAATTAAAACTACATTACAACTACTGCTATATAAAAAGAAATGCAAAAAGACCCGTAGTGTATAATATCTATAAACCGACCTGTCTCTACCGTGATGTAACGCTGACTAAACGTACTATATCATAATTATTATAATGACGTGATTTTTAAATTTATTGCATTCAAAATACAATTATTTTTTCGTTTCGATTGATAGAAGTAAAACTTGAAAGTACAATAAAAACGTATTGTGTAATTTGTAAACATTAAATAGTGATAACCTTAATTTATTGTACCTGATATTAATAACAACTGACTTACAATAATTACAACTTTGACTTTATTTATTCGCACCAAAAATCTAATAAAAAACTTTAGTAATTGAAATATTGCTACTTGTAGATAAAATGTGTCGGCGCCACTGCGAACTGAGCCTCTATATAATTCAACGTATACCTTACTATGGCTTGAAAAACTAAACATTAACAGATAAATGTAGTTTTACAAAAATTACTACGAACACAATATAAAATCATTGGTATCTAACGCAGGCGGACGTTACACATTAATTACTATTAACTACATACATTTTACATTACTTGTAGATGAGGTTTCTTGATATATTATAAACTACAAATGTGCAAATTATATTTAAAGAGTGTACCGAAGACAGTTTCAGTGGGCCTGTGTGAAGATTTCGATAACACGTTGGTTTAACGACAGTCAGTTATAAGTATAACCTAAAAACAAATACGTTAAAATATCTTAACTACAATAACTAAATCATATTCATAAATATTGAGGTAGATTACTCCTTCGTGTATGTATCTAAACTACCTAAATAGATTTTTGTGTAAAAACAAAGTCTTAAATTAACATCGATGGGTATTAAGTATTTATTACGTAAAAATAAATCGCGTGCTTCAGGAAATTCTCACGTGTGTTAAGTTCCGAATTGGTGTGAGTATTTACTAGTGAACTTTGGGTGCAGAAAAGTTTGCTACATATTTAAGTGGATCATTAGAACTATTTCAATGCATGTTCAAGTTGAATTCGAAGGGAAACAAACTTCGAAGCAAGACATTTAGTTTTAGTTAAGTAGATTTCTATCTTAAGGTGCAGCTTTTAACCGTTTCTTACTTAGACATTGCCACAGCAACTTTCTGACCGAACTATCGGAGACCGCTTTATAGCTCAAATGCACTAATTGCTATGCTCAGCATGACGCTAGAAGTATCTGGCAATCTTGATTACATTCAATGAAACTGAATACACTAACACTTAGACACCAAACTGTAAAAAACGTAGGATGAAGTTTAAGTACCCACACTATTCCCAAAACTTGTTCTACTTAACTATGATTAGGCTCTTGAGCAAACATAAGTCGCAAATGTTATATACATGACAAAGTTAATCTAAAATATTCGTAGAAACATTACATTTGTACTCTCAGTTATCTGTTTAAAGTAAAGCACTCGTATGCTAGGGCAAGTAATAGAAATACAACTCGTACAGAATCTACACTTAATTAAAAATATTTTTACAATTATTGCAACAATGTTAATTTGACTTTGGCACATTAACTTCAACGTTTACATTGCATAATTTGTAAAATATACAAACGAAAATTGATATTTTCCTTTCTTACATTATTCGTCGAACATTATATTATTTAAGAGCTTACATTTACCTTCTGTTTGTCAGCCCTACCTTTAAGGTTTTGTACTTTTATTACGATATAGGTACTCCAGATTTTTCACATCATATCTGTATTTCCCCCAAAGAGGTTCAACAAGAGTATGTATAGGACACCTCGATATTTCCACCGATTATATTATTCCCTGCAATAGGATCTATTCTCACACACCGGACAAAATCCAGACTTCGTGCCTCTGCTTTGAATTTCTGATTCGAAAAACATAATAATACTTTGCACGACCTGGGAATCGAACCTAGGACCTCAAGCTCAGCGACGAGGCAGTCAAATATCTCTTAAATCTTCATCTCTGATATTGACAATAGTTTTAACTGTTTATCTGTTAGCATATGTTTCTCCCATGATTTGCTTCATAGCCAGTTATAATACTTCTTATAACTTGTCGTTACGTTATTTATGAGCTAAAACTAACATAAAGTTTGTCATAATATAATATAGCAACAAAATAATAATATAAACACACACTTAACTTTGGATAAACACCAATATACGTAAAATAATTAAGGTCACTCGAACACATAAAATTTGTACTTACGTTACGTTTGAAAACTTAAGTTGTAATATTACTATCATTAAAATTATCAAAATGTATATATTGTATAGTTTGTACTAGAATTATGGATTTGTACCGATCAGTCTTGTACTTATTTGTATAGTTTAACTGTAACTATAGTGAGGTAGATGCGTTCTTAAGTTAGTTAACATTTGGTTACACATATGTAGTTTGGCAATTATAAAATATTTTCGTAATAGAACCTGTTAATTCAATTAAGTCGTTTCGTTTTGGAATGGAGTATCTAGACGGAAATAAGCTTTGTCTAAATTTATAAAACGTTATAACATAGTTAAAGTAAGAACGAAGAAATGCCGTTAGAAAGTGTAAAAGTTTCGTGGGGTCTTGGAATACGGGGGATGTGTGTATGGAGTTACGAGTGCGGCGGACTGTCCTGCTGCCCTCCCTGAGAGCCGCTCGAACTACTCTTGGTGGTGTCGTCCCTCTTTTTTTCCAGCTGTAACAGAAGAATTACTAAAATATGACAAAAAATCGTGAAAGCATATATATACTATGTAAAATTTTAGAATAGAGGTCCTGGCTGATTTGAATTTATTTTTGATCTGTAACCGAATATTGTTAATCTTTATAGTAAATGTCCACAAATCCAAACCAAAGTGAATTAAATGTGTATAATTTGTTTCCCTAATAATTGTACATCAGTACGTTACTTTAAAACTGTCTTTTCCTCTTATATGCATAGGAACCATCGAATCACTTCACTGTGTTTTCAATACGTTGGTATATATTCTTGGAATTCCCAATTAGTACCTGTTCTCTCTTCCCAACTCGTAATAGTATGTTCTTGGAATGGAACTGATTTCAAATATTAAGCAAAACTGACTAGCATGACTTAATTTGTGTGTGTTCTCTAACAATTCTAGAATCGGTAATACTTGCAATGAATTTACGCTTTGAGCACTGAATAGATGTATAGATTACAATAATTGTAATCTATCATAATATGTTAAAAATATTTTATGTCATTTTAATTTGTTTCTTTCATTTTTATTGTGGAGTAAGTCAGGTAGAGCAAAGGATATTTAGTTCGGTTCCGTCATGGAGCTCATTGTATTGCGTTATTTCTTCGATATCTAAGATTTTCAGTAATAGCACAAAGCCTTGTATCTGGTGTATGATAATAGAAACGTCCTAGGCTATCTATATAGCCTGATACGTTTTTTATGGATTAGGAGGCAAACAAGCATATGGATCTGGTAAGCGATCAGCGGCGTCCATAGACACCCGCAACACCAGAGCAGTCACCAGTACGTTGCCGGCCTTTTAAAAAGTAATACGGTCTTTTCTAGAAGGTTAAAGGTCGTATCGGTTCATTATGAATGAGTTATAGGACTCACAACATAGCAGAGACAGGGTGCTACATTTATAATGTGTTGTCAAATACCTTAACTGGACAGTCGGCGATAAGATGGTCCTCGCTCTTGCAGTTGTGACATCTCTTTGGTTGTGGGCTGATGGTGCACTTGGCCGCTATGTGGTTAGCAAACTCACCGCAGTTGTAGCAACTGGAAACCATAGCATTGTATTTATGAGATCTAGTTTCAATGTTGTTAGCGATGAAAGCACGTCAAACAAAAAGGCTAGCCACACAATATTTAGCTTACTACTTGTATAACACATGTTAAGCCATAATGTAAAAACAAAGTATTAGTTTCAAACTTAATTTAATAATTGTAAACTCGATTAAACCTAGATTGTTTATGCAATAATAATGCTTGCTTATCCCATAAAAGTATTATTTTTTTAATCTAAATAGGTTTTCTGTCCTAATTAAACCCAAAACTATAGCATGTTCACTTTTGTAATAATCGGATTTCAACTGAATGGGTTACTATTACCGATACATGATACATGTTAAATAATCCCAAGATCTAAATAAAGATGCTTAAATTGATCATATTTTTACCCAGTTTCGTAACTTTTACAAATCTCTTCAGACCATAAAACATAACAAACAAATATGACATTTAATGTAATAGAAACAAGCTTTACTATTACATTTATACCTAATTAACACGTTTCGATTAACCCTTATCTATGAACATAACTCAAAATAGAATTTTATCTAGCATCTGTCCACACAGCGTCGTAAAAACGAATTCAACTATATTTCCAAGAAAGTATGGTTTAGTAGTTTCGTAGGTTTGATATTTTCCTATAGGTTGATAGCGATAACCCTCCAATTTAGTGTTTGACTCGGCAACAAGTAAGCAGATAGAATAAACCCAATATGATAATGATGTAATGTGAACGCATCGTGCATTCTGACGTCGTTGCACTTTCAGTATAAATACTGGTTTTGTTATGATAAATCCCTTTTCTAACTAGTATGACGTCAAAACTAACTAATGACCAAAATTAAAATTAAATAGTGAAATAGTTTCGTAATCGTTCGATATTAATTTCAATAGGTTATCGTTTGACTATTATGTACTTCATGAAATTGTTTAATAGTTTGATAACTGTTCACACACGTAACACATGTAGTTTGTAGTAGAAGGATACCGAGTCTAGTTGTTAATAATTTTATCATGTGACCGAGTACTCTATCATAGTAACTACGGTTATCATTGAGATATTAGGTGCTAGAAAAACTATTAACCACTCCGTTCTTGACGTAACACGTGGTGCGTTTAACTTTTATAGGTTGTACAGACCAACAAAATAAAGAGAAAGAAAATAATACGAGCTGTTATTCTATTTAAACTTAAATTACATTTATTTATGTATTTTATATGGTATTCAGTTTACATAAATAAATACAGGAAATATTTATTAAATGATACCCGTGAACATGACACTAGAGATTCCTACTCTCCTTTCAATAGGTATGCTAAGGTCACTGAAGCTTCTAATCTATTACTGTAATATGATCTGTTAACTAAACTCACTTTACACGTTTGGTAAGTTTAAAATAACCTCTAAAAGTTTTGGTTTCTATTGAAAGAAGCTTAAATCGGTAATAACTGCTAACTGGTTTCGCACGGACTGCATTTTAAAAGGTAGTAAATAACTTTTGTTCCTTAAAAAGATACATTAATATTAAATAAATATGAATCAAAAGCTTCTGTAAATCACTAGTAATGTACTGACTACCTTTGTCTTTACAACATTTAGCTGTTGTGGATTTCATATTACTCTATAATGTATTGAAGTTATTATCAAATGAAGCATTCTACACTCTATAATGATCATGATGATAAAATATAATGCAATTGATCAAAATCCATCTTTTGTTATCCTTTCTTTTACTTCCTTAGCCAAGTCTACTTATAGCATTTGTTCAGAACTAAGGATGCACGATTTTTTTAAAGAATAAAATAATCATGCCATGTCATTATATCTCCTCTTAGTTGAATAAGCTTATGAGAAGATACTGCAAATAAAAATTTGGTCAGCTATGCCACACTGCAAGCAAAGGAGTATCGTCCATTTATACAGGGTATTGATACTTCTCCCCAACTAGCAACTAAAGCAAAGATTACCGTATCTTTCTGAACCGTTTCTTGGCGAGTGGGCGTCGATGTGATCCTTGGCAGTCCACAGATGAGGGCCCGGAGACACGCGTCGCCTCGAGCCCCTTGTCGGACTCTTTGCACTCGAACTCAACCTCCTCGTCGTCGCCAAGAGACCGGAATCCTGGCATCTGAATGACGCTCTGGAAATAAATGAACAAACACACTATTACCATATCACCGTCTTATCATTTCTTAGTAACAATTTAGAGAGCTAAGGTTGCAATATCGTTTTTAACTTCATACATCATAGTCATTTAGACTGCATCTCTTCCCATACAGAAACATCTTTGATAATTCTGGGTCACAATCTGCTCTTCATCATGACTAAGTTATAAGTTAAAGTATTGAGGATTGTAAAAGCAAATAATATCTCCAGAGTAGTCACAAAGTTGTAATAATATTTGTGCGTACGACAGCGGCGCTGCGAGGCGGCCCGGTAGTTCAGTATAAAAATAACAACTTCATGCTAACTATTATTATTGAGTGTGGGTCCCTTCAATGGGCTATAAATTTACTTATCGCTTATGAGAAAAAAATCAACGTTATCGGTATCCAGTAACGTAGTCTTGACCTAATATAAGTTTTACCGCTAGCGTCGCTGCAGCCGAACGAAGTACAAGTTTGGTGGCGCAAATGTATAGAAAAAACATCCGGCCTTGATAAGCCGAGCAAACAAATAAGCGCACTATCGGGTCAACCGCTAGATACGCCACAATATTTTTTCTGAATGGATTTATTTTCCTATTTTAACTATTGTAGAGAACGGAGCAATTTAATTAACTACGTAGATAATAGGTACCTACGTTACATCAGAATTTTGCGTTCGTTCTATTTTTACTTATGATCGTTGCGTGTATGTCTCGTGTAATATAATGATAAAAATTACCTGGTGCACAAAAACATCTTGCCCTCCGTCGTCAGGGGTAATGAACCCCCAGCCCTTTGCGACGTTGAACCACTTACACCGTCCACGGCGCGTCACCCCTAGGACGGCGCTGCCGCTCGCGCCCGCTGCACCTGCAAATAACATACACTCTGTTACTACAGCTCCACCAGCACTCCACCCGCTCCGCTCGCTACTCGCTAACTCGCCCGCTGACTCGCCCGCTCACACACCCGCTCATTCTCCCGCGCCCCACTCGCAGCCCCGCGTGTGCGTGGGCGCACCGCTCCCCTTACCTGTTACGGAATCTACCATCTAATTGAGTTTTTTTACAACTTAGTTCCCTCACACTGAAGTTTGGTTTCCGGTACATACGAAGCTTTTACGACGAACCGATAAAAGGATCTCATTTGCATATTTTACGCACACATTCACAAAATATTCGTTAGTTTATAGAAGTGACACAAAATATCGTCCTATAAAATGAAATGTAAATAAATATTATCCGACCAGGTCGACATCAGTTATATCCTCACGTTACAAAAATTATCTGTAAACTTTATCAGTAAATAAAATAAATAATGCCGGCGTCGCATTAACATGTTTTTATTGAATAGAAAGGTCGTAAACAATTCACGGATAGTCAAATTGCATTAAGTGGGTCGTAGTCCCTTGCTTCTAAATACATGCATAGACATTTAACGTTCGGAAATCTATTAGCAATAAATAAGGGCCTACAATCGTATCCTGAACGAAGAAAGGGTATACTGTTCCCCTTATCGGGCACCGAGACAACAAATAACGTGGGAACCGAATTAAATAAAAGACAACCTCTTTTAATACCACAGCTATTAATTCCTCCGTGTTCAATATATATCAACGAATAGGCTATCAACTCGATAATTAAAACGTAGAAACTTAAAAAGTGCATTTATGGATTCATCTGCCAGGCAGTCGGAACTTTGACGGAAGTAATGAAACATTTTCAAAGTTAACTTAACAATACACGAGTTGTGTAAGTTGGGTATGTAGGCAGTGGTAGTTAATCAACTATCGACAACATCAATTGTAGCGATGACTAATGTAACGTTACTTCCTTGAATAATATGTGTAATGACTAACTAGGCAGTTTGTTAGAAAAATCCGGAAATACTTCAGATGACAAACAACGATTCACATATATACCTACTCATATTGATTAACACCTAACATTTTTTTATTTCTTAGTAATGAATGACTTATCCCCAGATACCGAAGTTGTTTATGTTAAAAACTAGCTTCTGCCAGCGGCTTCGCCCGCCATCCCAGGAGGAAAATGCCAATGTATTTATTACTTCAGACCATACTCTACCTCTATTCCGAATTTCATTCCGGTGTAATGGAGTAACTTCTCCCGGTTTCCCAATATTTCCCTTCACTGCTCTGCTCCTATTGATCGTAGCGTAATGAAAAGTATACTATAACCTGCCCAAGAATATGAAGAAAAATTGTGCCAAATTTCGTTAAAATCTGTCGAGTAGTTTTTGTTTCCATAACGAACATACAGACAGACAGACAGACAGACAAAAATTTTACTGATTGCATTTTTGGCATCAGAAGCGATCCCTAACCACCCCTTGATAGTAATTTTTTAAATATATTTTATGTACAGAATTGACCTCTCTACAGATTTATTATAAGTATAGACTAGGCTATTCATTTTCTTTACTTCACAATTTGTTACCATAGAAATAATATGTTGAATTTATAGAAGCTATAAAGTCGTTATAAATGATATCGAAAGTATTTTATAAACGGTCAAGAATTATAAATATGCATTATACGAGTCCAATCTAGACCATAACAAACCAACATTTAAATAAAACAAGCTAAAGTTCTCACGGCGCTCTCTCATCAATCGAGCGTTAGTATCGCGGAGGCTTACTCAAATGTTAGTTATATGAGAATTTATTGGTAGGTTTGCTAATTCGATATACATTTCCATGTGTTGGTATGTAAGCTAAGCATATTATTTCGGGCGGCGGCAGCGGTAAAAGCGTGGTGGCTGCACACGTGGCGACGGCGGCGGGGACTGGAAGAATGTTCGGTATTTAGGTTAAGTTTCTGGTACCTTTTTCATTCATTGCCGTAACACTGCATCTAGCGGCCCCGCCGCCACAGCGCCGCACTACCTCACCTTGCTCACTATACTCAATATTTATTATTCCCTATCCCACATTAATGAGAAAGCTTTTAGACTTGTTTCTAAATAACTTGGAATCCATTGAACACGTTCATATTAAAAATCAATCGACCGCCAACTTAGTATGTGTACCAAAATCAAGTTGTATCTTAACCGTTTGCCGTTACAAAATATTTTTTTCTATGAGGAGACTTGTTTTTAAGTCTTTAAATATTTATTAAAATGAACTCATTGTTTATTTAAGAACCGAGGATATGTCATGTATTCTTCAAGACCATTGTAATAACTTGTTGAAGGACTTAACTTGCTTTTATTAAATAACCTTGCACTGATAAGTAGCTTTCTATAAATTTGTTTATTTGTGTGTAAGCACTAATAAAATGGCAAACATCTTTCAGACAAGTAATAAAAAATCATTTCTTTAGCGCATAAAGTTCAAATCAAAATTCCCTCGATCTAGATGTTGAAAAAAGCTCTTTTGTTTGTTTTGGTCATTTATTCCATGGATTTAGACTTTGAAATTTACAAAAACCAGTCTATACCAGTCTTGTTGATATTCAATAGCTGGCAAGCTCAGCGGTTCCTGAAGTGAAATATGAAGTTGGTTACGTGAAATGTGAGGTGTGCAGTTGTTCGTGTACTACAATATATGGTAGATAGTGGTGTGGCAGTGCGGTAGCGGCACGTTATTTATATACGTATATGTACCGAGTGAGGTAGCACTCCGGCGCATCCGACTGCTGTACTATGTGCCTGTTTTGTAGTTTTGTTTACTCAGCATGGAGCGCGCGCACCCGCCCGCCGCGCCCCGCCACAACTACGCACATTCCACGCTACACCTCAACATGCGCCGGAATTTCTATGCAACAGATGCATTACAAGGTATTCGTCTAATGCAACACTGACGCGCCTCTTCAAATATTTAACCATTACTTTGCCTCTTCTACTACGTATCAAATTACCACAAGTGTTGTGCAACGATCTGTTGTGGTGCAGATTAGAATGTCCCAGTTTCTACGAATATAACGACAAATGTTTAGTTAACTTCAATAACAAAACGCGAGACAGAAATCGTGACGTTTCTGGTTTATTGTCAGTTCCTAAAGCGATTAGGTGCACTATTTTTAAACTGGAATTTAAATATAAGCGCGTGGTATTTTGAAAGCAGGAAGGGGAAATTCTACGCATATTTTAAGTGGAACATTTGTTGCTTGCACGCACCCTAGTGCCTTGTTATATTCATTTACGTGGTAAGTAGGTATAAGTTTCTTACAGTATACATCAGCATAGATGTTTTTCAACACAACCTGTATAACCTGTATATAAACCTGTATGTGATAATTTTGGATTATAGTAAATAACCATTTATGAATTTAGTTAATTTGCAAACGGTATATTTTGTAAATGATATATCTTAACAATATTTTCGTTAATCTATGACACGAGGTAAATGATCACTTCTATGAATGAAATAATGTTTAGTCAATAAGCGAACACGTGTTGACGCACGCATCTGTTGTCTCAGTCTATTCGTATTGCGTATTTGACATATATTTCTCAATGGTATTTCCATGTGAACGTAATAAATAGTCGATCATCTTTTGAAGATCTACTACTTTATTAAAAGTTTTCAATTCATTCAATGACAGGCCTGAAGTGAAGTCCGTTTGTGAAGGCACCTACTTACTACCTTGAATGAAAATTTTCCATTTATGTACATATAAATTTCCATTTATCTGTTACGAAATGTAGAAGGTACTCTAAGAAAATATTTATTTATTACTTAGTATTCATGTAAACAAAGTAGTGAAGAAAGCGTAAGCTTGTAAAGTTGGTAAAAGTAGGACCCATGTTTGATGCCCGCACAGAGGCCAATTTACATAAAAGAGCTTTTGTTGTGAATCTATCTCAGTATCGAATTATTTAATGGGTTTACAATATACATGATATTCTGTAATCGCTAATGCTTTTATGTGATCCCGCCTGCGAGCACCGATGCGGGCCTATGATTCGTATCACACGCTGAGAGCGACACATCAGCCATCAAATGCAACGCCTGGTGATGCGCGTAGGAGGAAACTGATATACAGCGTTCATTAGGTATAACAAATAAACTTTTTTCCAAATAATTTAACACTTATCAAAGCCGAATCTTACCTTTTTAATTAAAATTTCCTAGTAGGTAACCTATACTTAATCAAAGACGTCAATTAAAAATTTTAATACGACAAATATGTGACTCATTTAAATTCAGCGTAATAGCCTCAGATTTGAATTCACTCATTTTTGAAATTAATGTATAATAGGTACCAAGTCGTTGTGTCACTACACACTACTATAACTTTAACCAAATAAAGTTCCATATAGGAAATAGTAACACCATTTTATCAAAGTTCAAATGCTCATTCATTATTTAAATGGAAAGAGTCACATGTGTAGTAAACAAAACGCATACCAATATAATTGTAGGACGCATGTCCAGAAAGCAAATGAAATGACCTAAAACATTGTGCCATTCACCACTTTTTGCTGTTATCAATCGTAGGTATGGAATTTCAACGTGAATCATCGTCAAGTGGCGCTTGTGCTTGGGTATCTTGAACTAGGAGGGAAAGAGACAGCCGAATGTACCACCATTCGGATTTAATTGACTGGTTACGAACTCGGACCCTGCCGTAGGGACGTCACCTCACTTACATCGACTTTCTAAAAATTCCGGATGGTACTTGAATAACTCTCTATGGCAATTCCTGTTTGAAAGAATGTTCTCACCTTGTTTGTGTATATGATTTGTACAAACAAATTAATTTTACCGATTTGAACGTAACTTTGTTACGTTTTCCATACAAAAATAATTTCCTACTTGGAACTACTACGCCGCAAAATGTAAATACAAACTCTAAAGGTACACGCATATTGAGGATGTGCTACAACACTTCGGCCCGTATAATGTTGTTGCGTAAGAATGTAAACAATATTCTAATCAGCATAAAAATATCGATAGTGCGTTCTTCACTAGAACTCTGGTATGTCGACGACAAAAACACGTAGTGCAGGAGGAGTGGGGAGCGAGATTAAGGTCCTTCTAAAATGCAGTCGGCTTACCTAAACACATTCAAGCTTTTATCACTCACACAGATAAATATAAATAGAAAGTATTTTAGTAGTATAAAACTTATAACAGTGGAGTTACAGTCGAAATCGGCATAGCAGCGGCGCCAAGTCGCAGGCAGCACGCATGCGAGCAACTAAAACGGTATCGTAGGAATAGTAAACAATTAACTGCTCGATGCGTAGACCTTGTTTGATAAAATGTTCACGTCACATGTTTCCAATTCAATACTTGATACTCATGTTATACAAGGACTGCTGGTACCTACGTCCATTCATGAATATACGCAATTTGTTTTTAATTCATATCAAAATGAACTTAACAGCTCTGTTCTGAAGTACTTCAGGGTAATCAAATAAATATGAATGATTTTATTACAAAAGTACAAAAATATTGCGTAAAACGTGACGTCATACCATACAAGACATTCTCTAATTAGGAAGTACGAATTTATAATTAGTATATCTTGTTGTTGATCAACTTTATACCCAGTAAACATGGCACACATATGTGTGACATCAGTAAAACGAGACTCTATTAACCTCAATTTGAATAATTTCAATGATGAACTGTTTGTGATTGCCTCCCTGGGCACTGCGTACAACACATCCGTTCGATAAGGGCCATGTCAAGTTCCAACACATAAAATAACTTTTTGACGTGACTTATTTATAGTGGCTTCAGTGTATTTTAAACTCTTTAATGAAAAAATGTAAACAATAAATTTAACGGAAACTTTTTAAAATTTAAGAAAATAATGTCTTAAGTTTACTTACTTGAAGAGGGAACTGCATTTCCGCCTTCCCTCCCGCTCATGGTAACTAAAAATTATCAACTGGCACCACAAATATCACCTCTGCGTATCATACATCCTCTGATTGAAAAAAGGCACTTTGTTTATAATAAGTTCATTTACCTTTGCACGTTAAAACTTATTAACTATCAAAATGTGTTAAGTGCATAAAGGCGGACGCGCGTGCGCGCGAAGCGACCAGCGACGCGTACGCAGGTCGACTGCATCGAAAATGAGTGACAGTGGTGTAGAGTCGACGCCGCGGTGATGCGGTCGGTCCCTTCCCGGATATCGTCAAGCAAGTAGTTTTTAAAATAGAGAAGCTAACGAAACGTGTACACCGCCCGAAAGCGCCGGCCGCTTTACCCCAACCCAAATTGTGTCACTTGTTGGCGCGGCGGCGGCGCAGCGCGCAGCGAACAGCACAGCGTTCCCTGCGCTGCCAACAGACACGAGCGCGCTGCAGGGTGAACAGCTTCTACTACCTACCTCACATTTTGCTTACAAACACCCAACAACATCTTCAAACCTAACAAAAAATATTCTCAATAGAAGCCGCGTACGACCAACCACAAAAGGGATCTTTTGGGACTGACCAAGTTCCAAAGTCTCTTTGTTTTTATATCCTGCAACGATAAAATGTTTTTATTGTACTATTTTCAGAATTGTAACTAAATAAACTAGGTTACGTAAAGTGTTACTTGCGATTTCCTCTGTAGGTAGGTATTAAAAAAGTTTATGCTGAAAAACCGTTGAGTGAGCTTTTGAGGGCTTCTGTACAGACTATAATTAAATGTTTGTTGAGGTTAAAACATTCACCCTCGTGATAAATGTATAATATGATAAATTAATACGCAGTTCAAAGTAAGTTTAAAAAACAGATTAATTGCACGTTTTATGACCGTATTATTAAAAGTATTGGATGTAATATTTTTATGTTGCTGCATTTGAACAATTATTTTATTAGTGAAATACGATTTAAAAATAACGGAATGTTTCCTTAGTTTTTGAGTCGTGTGATAATGAAAGAATCCAATCTTGAACCCAACATGTGTGTCACCGTCACTTCTGAGAGACAACTTTGATCGGAATGCAGAGTTCGCGTCGAAGTTTATGGCGTGCATTAACTCGAGATACCCGGTCCTGTTGGAACACAGACCATGTGGAATTAGTTTTATTGAATGAATGCTATCTCTAACATTTATTTCTTTTGTTCTATGTGTATTATTTCAGCAATGCTTAGCAGGTACTCCTGTAAACATATTGGAACATTAAAGGGCTTTGAAACAAATTGTTTTTCTATAGGTTTAATATTAAACATGTTGAAACAGACTTAATCATTGAAATATTAACCATTAGTGTTTCTTAAATATTAGTAAATTTAAAATGTCTTTCTTTTCGATTTCATGTAGTTTATGAACTTTTATACGATTTATGTAAGTTGCTACATTGATGAAAGTAACGGATATAACACACCGACACAATAGATACTTTGTAAAGGGAGGAAAGTGGAAGAAAGATCCCAGGCTCAAATTCAAGTCAGAAAGCAGAATAAACAGATCAATGAATAAAGTATTCACTCAATTCTTTAAATCTGCATACCCCTCTGAATTTGTGTTAAATTCATTACCAACGCTTGATACGCATTGTTACTAGTGTGACAATTTCACACATGCTTTTCTGTATTTCTGGTGAGAACCAGGTATGGCGAAATTTGGCTCATGTCCTCCCCAACCGTTAGAGGGAGTCCCCTTCGGTCACGTCACTTACTGACGACCTGGCCAACCGGACCCATTGTTGCTGATCTAATCCACGTATGATTATGCATCAACAATATTTGACAATAGCCCTCTCACAAGAAAAACTAGTTTTGTAAATAATGTAACTTGACCAATTGTCGTATTCACTTTCTCTGAACTTTTCACCCCAAGCAGTAGCTAGTTAAAGTTTTTAATTTCTATTACTCGATGCAAATTAAAACCAACTGATTAATCAATTGTTAGACTTCCCTTCGCAGAAATCTGATTCATATTGTATGAAAAATCTTAAAAAACGAGATGAGTAATACATTCGTAGGTTATAAGGGTTTAAAGATATGATTTGTTAACCTTGAAACGATAACCACAGCTACTTCTGATCTTTCTACCTACACTAAAGGTCAATCAAATACAACATATAAATTTGGAGGAAATATTAATAATTCAAATGGTTGTAGCATTTACTAGAGTCACTTGTCTATCCAATAAAAATTTACTGATTTAACAACCTGTAGTTACTTCTTTAAATTATTTTCGTTTATAGAACTGCAGATTGTTGTTATTTTTTTAACAAAAAGCAATAATTTCGTAAGAAACTTTGAGTTATTAAAGGCACAAACACCAATCAAATGGCCTTAAAGTGTCATCTAGCGTTTGACTGTTGTACAAAAATATTTCGTGGTTTGGATCCCAATTTGTTAGTTCGTCAAGTTAACTGCAGATGGCATTAGCATCGTTTATATCGTACCGCCATCTGTACTAGTGTTTGGGAACTTTAAAATGAATGTATAGCCCGAGGGTACAGCGGTGGACCCCACTGTATAATGTTAATTTCGATTTGAAGGCGTTCCCTACATAGGGGTGGTGCCAACTGGCACCCTCAAATATAAAATAGGTACGTATACGGTTTCATATCCACTGGATTGAAGATTTGTTTCACGAACGCTTAAAATTCCCTAACCGTCTATTATAAAAATATCTCAGAAAGATGTATTTAGAGAAAATACAAGAGCGTACTGTTTCAAAACATCATTCATTTTAGAACTAGAAAATAATAAAATAACTTAACAATTGCTTTATATTTAATCTTATACATAAAATTGTTTCTTGATGGGACGAGATAGAAAAATCATGGGACACAAAGAAAAATAAATGAATTAATGTCAATGACAATGTCAGGTCTCAGGTCAAAAACTTCTAAAGACTTGAAGTATAGCACTTTCCTATTATTACTTGATTTTTGAGACTTACCTTTATAGCGGGTTAATAGAAATGTTTCTAATGGCCCAAAAACCTCAGTAGTAATTATATTTTTTTGTTAATCATTCGTTTAGTATCGGTATCGAATAATCAGTTTAAAATAGAATTAAGTTTCTTATTCTACGTTTTTAAAGGTTTAAAACTTATCTAAATAAAATATTAGATTAATAAAAATGCGTAGTATTTTCAATGCTACGAACTTTACTCGCACTGCTACGCGCTATCTGGTCTACGCGCTACGCCGTTGCTACGCTTACTACGCACATGCGAATTGCGAATTGCAAAATCAGCTAAACATTTCTCTGATTTTATCATATATATAAAGTCGTTAAAATAAACGAGGATTTAACTGAACAACATAACGTTACCTTCTTAATCTCCACAGAGGTAGGCAGGGGCCCACGTTTAGTAAAAGTAACACTCACTTATCACCTGTTTCGTTATGAGTCCCAATGTCATTGGCTCTGAGTATATTGCCATACACCGAGCACAATTTCGAAATCCGTGCTACTACTGGGAATCAGTTGGGTTAGTCAAAGGTATGGTAAATATAGTATGTAGAAGGTTTGTAATTAATAGATACTAGATGACATAGGTACACTACGAAAGTGCATAAAATATTCATAAAACGTGCCCCAAAAGACCCGAAAATGCGCCAAAAACATGAACCATGAAGATACACAAAGAACAAAACTAAAACCTAAAACTGAAACCTTCATCACCGTTTTTAGGAACATGTGAAACAAGGTTTTGACCAAATCTAATGCATAGTAGTGAATCTTACAGGTTCCATTGTACTGAGGTGTTCCGTTAAGAGTGCCATTGGTGATGACGATGGGAGAGGATGCCTTGCTGATCTCTGCCGCGTGGTTGGCTGCCCACGATGCTGCCGCCGCCGCCGCTGCTGCAGCTGCGGCCGCTGCCGCTGCGCACACGCTGCACTCTGCAAATAAATAGTATATTCTGTAATATTCTTATCCCAGGTTTTAATATATTTAATAGAAATAAAATTGTAACTGGGTTATTATAATGATGGTGGTGGATTATTTGTTGTAGTGTCTCCCACAACTATTACAAATGTAAATATTACACTGCACTGCTACAACTGCAGATAGTAAACTGTTAAAAGAGGTTGAGTCAAAATATTCCAACACAAAAACACAACAGTATCGCCATATTGATAAAAAAAAGTAAGGAGCTAAGCCGATAGACACTGGCCGAAAACCTTTTTTGAAATGCAACTGACTTAGACTTATCCACAATACGTCTACTCTTATTGTATTGAGTTAAAGTTCATAATTGTATGCAATACAATAAAGATTAAGAAATATGGATGTTATAGAGTTACATAATGCTAAAACAAAGTAGGTTTGTATAACTAGTTAGTAGAAAGCAGGTACCTCTCCTCTTTCTTCTCTCGGAATCTTGTATACAATTTTGTTATATTTTAAAATTGTTAAAAACTAAATTTAATAAAGTCCATTTAATAACAATGCCATATGGCTTTTTCTTTTTTAAAGGCTTTATAACAATAAAATTTCAGAAATTACGAACTTATTGGAAAATATCGCTTTTACAATCGTTGCTAGTTTTTAATTATAATGCTAGATTAAGACACAATAAATATTCCTGCTACTAGTTATGATCCTCCCATACGGTATCTCAATCATGCACCTGTATTGTATGTGTACTCAATGTTATATCTCTCCTGACATTATTTACAATTATTATTTACTAGCTGTTGTCTGTGACTTCATCCCCTTAGAATATGACTCCTGTTTTATTCCATGGAAGCATTTAAACGGCATAAAAAGTTCTATCACCTAAGTCAGTCCATACCCTGCCTGTATAATAAATTTTATCAAAATTCACTCGGCGTGATTGGCGTACAAACATCCTAACAAAGAAACCATCACATTTATATTATAAATGTAATTAATATTATTTACATGCAATGCAATTTTTCTCCCAAGTTTATTAACTCGAACCGTAAATAAACTATTTTATACATAAGTATAGATAGAGTATAGATTAGTATTTTCAAATTATGTGGACATACTTACATGTTAAAATAAAATTTAAGATGTCTTATTAGAAAGGTATTCTTACTAGAACGTATTCTAATTTATTTGGTATCATCAGAATAAGCTTCGGTCGCATATAATAGTGACTTAGATATTTTTTTCGTAAAAGTAATAATATAATATCGCATGGCCCTTAGTAAGTGTGCAGACTTCTTTTAGAGAAATAATTTTTGACTTTGGTCCGGGAATTTTCATATGAAAATATGACAAACATACATACAAAAACACAAACGTTTCTCTTAATATTAGTTTAGATTTAAGGGAAATTAGAATATGGATATATATGTATATCTTGATTCAATATTAAATAAACAAATACATATGTATTGTAAATACAAAGGGTTATCTAAAGG